CATTAGCCCTTTGGGGACGAAAGCTGCCATGTAATCGTCGGGCACGCGCTCCGGCGCGTTGCCGTTGCCACCGTATGATCGACGGAGGGTGTTGCTCCGGCACCCTTCCATTTCTACGAACGGAGTCCGAAACCACCGTCTCGGAAACAAACTATGCTTTGTTTCTTCTCCTCCCCCTTTGTTTAAAGAAAATTTCCCGTGCCCCAGGAGTTCTCCGTGCACCATAGAATCGTCGCCGAAGGACCAACTGCTTGGACCGACCGCCGGCGAGCTTGACAGAGAAGAAAGCTTGTTCAGACGTTATCGTCGCTTCGAACGCGACTACGCATCTTGAAGACACGAAACTCTCCCTCCAACCAAGTAAGATATTGTTTCACTGCTTCGAAATCTTTTGGCTGCTGGACTGTTTGAGTTTTTTTTTTCTGAGTTTTTTTTTTCTGCCATGCTTGAACATGTGCTATATGTATATATTGAGAGTCTGGGTGGTGCTATTTTCCAAATATGTAGACCACTTTGCGTGTGTAAGTGCATATACTTAACACATAGCATGGCCCAAGTAATGTAAATGCATATACGACCTAATGCTTCTTGAGTTCTGAGTCATGTGCCCCTTTTTTTTTTTTTTTTTTTTTTTTTTTTAATTTTGTTGAGAGGAAGCATATCGCATGGCCACGCTCTCTGTTTTCTTTTCTTATTCCGGCGTGCTCACATATATACGAAGCATAATACATATACCCATTGGTTCATGGGTTACTCTGTTGTGTATGCACTTCGTGTGTAGAACAGGTCCTTTTCTTCTTTTCATTGCTTCCTTATACCTCATCTTGCGTGTATCAGTGAATATACACGTGACTACCAGCCTCATCCTCTTTTTCTTGTCACCATTATTTGTGCGTACGTGTATACCCATTTAATGGTTTTGCTTTATCACTTTGCATGCCATGTTTAATGGTTTTTTTCTTTGCATGCTAACATATATGTATATAATATATATAATCCTTGTTTCTCATGCAATGTATATATATGTATATATGTAATGTGTAGCCCATCTTCATGCCTCTGCTTCATGATTGCGTGAATGTACACATATGTATATAATAATATATATGTGATGCACTAACTTTGATAGTGTTGTGCGTGTAACATATATATTATATATTTGCTTTGCATAACATTGTGTGGGTATATATATGCACACACGCATATAGTATATATATATATATATATATATATATATATATATATATATATACACGTGGTATGCGTATACATACAATATATATAATATGTTGCCTTGGGTACTATGTACATATATGTTACACGAGAATTTCCTTGAACACTTTCATGGCGATTTTAGACTTAGAACTTTTCCTTGCTTTACAAATTGTTATTACTTATGGACTTGGCCTCTTGATTTTCATGCAGATTCATACATCGCAAACCATCTTTGAACAATGGTAGTGTTTTGGGAAACCGTGGGAGCCGATCAGAAGAGGAGGCTCAAAGTATCAAGCGACGAGACTGGAAAAGATAGCATGTCGTTCATCGTTTACCCACCAATGGCGTCGAGAACTCGTCTTTCCCAGATACCGCCATATAAAGTGGAAAATTGGACCCATGACACTGACACCCAGCCATCGAAAACATGGGTTCTGAAGACCGGCTTAAGTCATGTGGACTACACAGACACACTCCCGACTTTAGGGAGATGGATACTTGAAGGTGAGGCTTCATGGAATCAGCACCCCAGCTTTAAAGGTGAATTTAGCTTCACAAAGGGGTATTGGGAATGGACTGAGGCTATACTCAGTCGGCATCGCAAACTTCTAGAGGATGTGACCATCTACGACGGCGTATATGCCTCTTTATTCACATATGACCGCTCGACGCCTATCGTCCAAGCATTCTGCGAAGCGTGGTGCCCCATGACAAATACCTTGCTTACATCCCTCGGTGAGCTTTCAATCTCACTTTGGGATATGCATGTACTTTGCGGTCTACCGATATCTGGCGACATCTACGATGAGTATGTTCCAACTGCCTCGCAATTAACAGGGGAAGACATCAACTCCGCCCCTCAATGTTGTAAGTATTTGTTCCAAGCATACTATCACCTTGGTAACCGAATTAGGCAACGAGGTGGTCGCCGTGGGCAACAGGAGAAAAGTCGTTCAGTTCACGTTGTTGAGTGGATAGAATTCTGGAGCAGAAGACCGCAAGTTTATGACAGGCCACCGCCTAGGAAGGAGGATAAGAAGAAGACTCGCCCGAGGATCACCCATAATCCAAGTGGCAAGATCCCAGCATTCGGGGGTTGGACCAGAACGACCAAAGCGCCTTTTGCTGAGCTTGGAATTCCCTCCGAATACGAGGAGGAGACCCATTTGGCGGCATACCTAAGTTGTTGGCTGTGCGTATTCGTGCTCCCCATCAAAGCAACGCGACTCATTCGAGCCCAAACATTCAAAATGGCTAGTCTAATGGCGACGGGCAAGACACTGAACCTCGGGATCCCCGTTCTTGCGAGCATCTACAATGGATTGAATGTAATATCGCACTCTAGTACGCCGGGGTCAGTTGATAGTCACTTTCCCATTCACTATGTGTATGGATGGCTGTCGTTCTACTTCGACACTCATTTCGCAAATGATCAAACGTCCGCTTCCCCGCTGATGATTGCCTACTCTGGAGAGGGTGGCGCGAGGTATTATGGACCAATAGAGGCTCGTCGTAAGATGTTCAAAGCCGACAGCGCCAATTGGCTCTGCACGACGCGCCGCCTAACTAAAGATCTCCACTTCCTCGATGATGGGGACGCACACTCTACCGACCACGAGTACCTCATGTGTCTTCGTTCTAACCACCTCATATTGCGATGGGCGGATGCATGTATCGCAGAGCCTTACACTCCTCATCGATTCAGCCGACAGTTCGGCTACTACCAAGACGGCAGCTCTGGCATACTGGGCAATGATGAACGTGAGGTCACGCTTTCGGAGGGTTTCTAACGTTGGCGCCACTCTACACTTAGGGGTTCAGGGTCGCGAGTGACATTTCCTGCGACTCGAGTTACTGTCACCATGAAGAAGTATTTCTCGCCGGGCTATAAAGATTGGTGGGCCCAAGTCCATGGGGACTACCTCGAGCGCAATATCAAGGGTTTAGCTCCTGAGGATCCAGCCAACGTGCAGCAGGAGGCTGGCACCGCCAAGAAGGGCAAACATCCAGTCCAGGGAGATGAACCACCACCCAAGAAGAGAAAGGAGCATATCATCTCGAAAAACAGGGCCGACGTGGTACGGTCGGACTCGGGTGATGAGGAAAGCCATGACCGTCACTGGAAACGGCGACGAGACAGACGTTCGCCTTCCCCAGTGGAGGTAAATCATTGTTCTCGCTTGTCCCAATGATTGCCGGTAGCACTTAATTTACCCTCTTTTACTTCTTGACAGGAAAATGTGGCGATACCTGCTAGTGGAGGGGCTGAGTCATCAAATAAAAGGGTGGCAGCCAGCAATACTGGAGAAAGTGGACATTCAAACAATGCCTCAGCATCAAGCACGCACCAGTCGGGGAATTCCCTCGACGAGCCACGCGTAGGTCAGCAAGATAGACCTGAGGTCTCTGTCTTTGATGGGAAAGACCTCGTACTGGAAGAATTTAAGGTGGTTGTCATAAATGTCTGGAACAAGCTTCGCAAAAAGTTGGACGACACCTCGGTAGAACAGATTTCATCTTTGCAAGAGAGCTTTTTGAACGCTTTTGCAAATCTGCGGAAGTTAGACATTGATATCTCTCCCTTGGAAACACGGGTTGCAGACATTTTCACGAAAGCTCAAGCCTTTGATAACTTAAGGTCCACAATTTCTGACAAAACATCGAGCGAGTCTCAGTCTTTATCCCTGGCGAAGGATGCGCTTAAGAATGCACAAGACGAGTTTAGGAAACTCAAGAAAGATCTATTGGGCCAACATAAGATGCTTAAGGCCACAAAAGATCGGGAAGAGGAATTGGAGAAAGAACTGAAGTTAGTTCGTGCCAAGGCAGAGGAATGCGACACTGCGATTGCCAAAATTACAGATGACCTGGGCAACGCCAAGACTGCCGTTTCGGAGGCTGGGGCAGAGGTCGCCCGCATTAAGGACCTGACTGTACTGACGCCAGAAGATGAAACGAGCTTAAAGGAGGCAAAGAGAGGCTTAGAAGCGTGCAAAGACGATATGCTTAGCTTTAGGCTTTTTTATTGACTGATACTCTTTGTCATTTAGTTTCTCTTTTGATTGCAAGAACTTTTGTTGTTTCGTTTCTAACTTTTGATAATTGAATGCTCCTCATTTATGTGCTGGTCCTTTAGCGATAATTCAAACAACTTTTCTTTCACCCGTTGAAGGATTGTCTAGATAACCCACTCTTGCAACATGAATTGGATTTGATTTTGTTATGACTGAACTTAGATAATTTGATTTCTAAGCTGCCTACGTACTCCTATAAAGGAGATCAAGTCAAACGTAGTTCAAATGATTTTTTTTTTTTTTTTTTTTTTACAAAGTAGAGCTGTTCACAGTTTAGACTCATGCGGGCCAGGCACTACAAGAAAAATCCCGAATCGCGACGGAATATCGCGACGGAAACTTTTCCGTCGCAATATAACAACGGAAATTGCGACGGAATACTTTCCGTTGTAAATTAACTACGGAATTCGCGACGGAAATTAATTCCGTCGCGATTTTTGGCGCAAAGGAAAAATAAAATCCGCGAAATCTTGGCGGCAAAATATTCACGACGAAATTTGCGACGGGTGTAAGTTACGTCGTCTATTTAGCGATGGAAAAGGCGACGGATTTACTTTCCGTCGCGAAATAAAGAATTTTTTTGTAAATTAATAAATATTGCGACGGAATAACGACGGAATTTATTCCGTCGCAATTGTGTTTTTAATTTTTACTTCAAAACGGCAGTGCTTTGTTTTTTCTTAATAATTATGAACATTAAGGCAATCTCTTTTATTTAGGGTTTGCTTCTTTCTATATTTCTTCAAATGAATTTGTCTCCAGTCTCGAGTGAGCCGCAACCACCACAACCTCCGTAACCTCCGTAGCCGCCACCGTAGCCTCCACCTTCGTAGCTTCTTCCTCGCAGCCACCACCTCCATAGCCATAAGCTATGTAGCTGCCTCCATTGCAGATTAGCATCCATGACCTCAACCTCAAGACCGCCATAGCTATCGGACGACAGCTCAAACTCCTATCCACTGCCTCTCCCTCGTATTCTCGCTGTCGTAGCCACCGTCTCCACCATCGCGCCTCCCCCTCAAATCCTCACCGTCGTAGCCACCGTTGCCACGCCCAGGCTCCAACTATTGTACGTCTGTACCTCTCTCTCTCTTTTGCAGATAACACTTGTAAATATGACTGTTATATTTTTCTTCATTAATTTGTATTTGGTTATCCAATAAGTTAGCCACCACCTCCGTAGCTAACTACTCTGGTTCCTCTTTCTTTTTCTTTAATTTGTGTTGCAATATGTTCTATTTACTGGTAATTAGCAATCTATCAATTTCAAATCATTATGTGAGTGTGTACTGCTAATTACAGTGCTTAGTGTGTAATGACTAATGATACTAATTGTAATGCTTAATTAATGATGCTCATTCGGTGATGTTGTTTTTCTGAAGAGATTGTTTCTAGACTTCATTTTGAAAAGGTTAAATATTAAAGTATTAATCTCTACTGTTTAATTTTTACTATTTGATTTAGCTTTATTTTTGATTAATTAATTAATTAATAATTATTATTGATGCTAGTATGCCACTTTGACATTGTGATGCTGAAAAGGATGTTGCTAAGAAAGCTGTAAAAATCATTTTTCTTCACTTTTGGTTGTTATAAAATGGGGATGAGGGAACCTGGTTACATACTGACTCTTTTTTTCATTGATATGGACATATGGTATGACTTGAGTGATTCAAGATGGCTTGTGTCTTTATTTGGTTGTTTTCTCGCAGGGATGGGAGTATTCCAGTTTTTTTAATCCAAAAGTACCTTGTGCGGAAGTTGGACTTCATGAGTGATGATGAGGTATGTCCCTCATCTAAAATGTCACCTGGAAATGTTGTTTGGCTCAAGTGCAATTTTGGATATTCATTGTACTGTATGCTTACATCCATTTTATACTCTGGTTTTGATGTCTTTGAAAGAAATCTAGAAACCAAAGCCTCATGAATAGCAGTGAGTATTCAACATGGCAGTGAGTATTAAGCTACTAGAGAAGAGAACTTACTTTTATGTGCACATATTATTCCTACATAATAATATTTAAATCCCTTTTACAGTGCAAATTATTTCTAATATAAATATTTTTATACTCCTTTTCTATGTTCTCTTTACTTCATTGCTTCTGATGTGAACTTATTTCATTGCTACTGCAGGACAACACAATTTCCAAATGGAAGACAAAAAATTAATTAATGTGGAGCACTGAAGAGGAAGATGTTCATAAATTCTCAGCAACGGCTAACAAAAATATGCCTTGGAGGAAGATCTTAGACTTTGGTCGTCATGTGTTTCATCCAACCTGTATCCCAGCTGATCTCAAAGATAAGTGGAGAACCATGTGTGGCATAAATAAGGTGCAACACAATTACTTAAATTGCGTTGCAAGAGATAAAATTCTGGATTGCAAATTTGCTACTCTTAAAATTCAGGCTTAGCAATTTCCATTCTTTTGTGATAATGCTTTGTAGTTCTTTTGTAGGCTAGAAGCTGGTCACTTGAAGGCTCATTAAATTTGAGAAACTGGTTTGGCTATGGTGATATATGTGATGTTTCATTGGTTTATGGCTAGGACCAAACATCGGATGTTAGCATTGGTTTGTCTTTGCCTAAGTTCAAAGGGTTGACTACTACAATGCTATATCGGATAAATGAGCATTGGATATTATTTTTTAGTTTACTATTTGTTGGTTATAGGTGGTAGATTTTCATTGCATGTATCGCATTTTGTTGTTTAGACTTGAATTGATTATTATTAGTTACTAAATGTGGATTGATGATGTATTATTACTTGAACTTAATGTGGATTGATAATATTTTAAAATTATGTTATTTTTTTAGAATTAATTGTTTTAGTATGTCATTATAAATTTATATTAATATTTTAAAAGCTCATATTACTATTTAAAAATAATAACTATAAATACATTTGTTTAAAAATAATTAAAAAATGCAACGCAATCGCGATAGAATATAAGCTTTGCGACGGAATATTTGTTGCACTAAATGCGACGGAATCGCGACGGAAAACAATTTCGTTGCCAAAATGCGACGGAAAAAAATAATATGGCAACGGAATATTTGTTTTCAAAATGGCGACGGAATTGCGACGGAAAAAATTCCGTTGTAAATTTGCGACGCCTTATTCCGTCGCCAATTCCGTCGCCATATTTTGCGACGAAATTATTCCGTCGCGTATAAAAATACGACAAGCCGATAGGCGACGGAATGGATTCCGTCGCAATTCCGTCGCAAAACGTGATTCGCGACGGAATTTTGCTGTTTCGCGACGGAATTTTTCCGTCGCGATTCGCGATTTTTCTTGTAGTGAGGAGCGTCTATGATTTGGGCCCACCCATAGACAAAGCGAGATGCATTAGCAGTTTAACCACGTGCTGCATTTTTAGTGGATGAGTCATTCATCAGATCTTCATGACTTGTGTTGACACCCCAAGTTTAAGGGTGGTAAAGCTTTAGGAACCTTCCATTAATCGGACCGATCTTCAAACCATCTTCACTAATTAGCTTATAAGCCCCACCGGTGTAAACTTCTAAAATCACGTAGGGACCATCCCACCTTGAAGTGAACTTGTGACCGGTTTTTCTCGTGACGATGATGGGCCTGCGAACAGCTAGGACTTTGTCCCCAATTTGAAAGGAACGGGTCCTTACCCTTTTGTTAAAAACTCTAGACATACGAGCTTGATAGCACTCCAAGCTTTGTTGCGCTTGCAGACGTTTTTCATCCAAGGCTTCTAACTCAGCCAAGCGTAACTTGGCATTCTCTTCATCAGTAAGACCCTCCTGTATAGCCAACCTTAAGGAAGGTATCTGGCGCTCTAGAGGCAAGACCGCTTCCACACCATACACCAAAGAATATGGAGTGCTTTGAGTAGGTGTGCGATATGTGGTTCTATACGCCCACAAAGCTTCTTCCATTCTGTCATGCCAGTCCCTTTTCGATTTTGAGACCAATTTCTTCAACAAATTGCATAGGGTTTTGTTAAAAGCTTCAGCAAGCCCATTTGCAGCTGCATAGTAAGCTGATGAGTTTCGCTGCTTAAAGTCAAAAAGCTTGCAGATCTTGTCCATCAACTTGTTGTCAAAGGGCTTCCCGTTATCTGTTAAGATATATCGCGGGATACCAAATCGATAGACGATGTGGACACGGAGAAAGTCTGCAACATTTTCTTTCTTCACCTCCTTCAATGCCACGGCTTCCGCCCACTTTGAAAAGTAATCGGTGGCAGCTAGTATGTAGGCATGCCCTGCAGATGACTTAGGCGTAATTGGGCCAACCACATCAAGTCCCCAAGCATCAAATGGCCAAGATGCAACTGTTGGGTGCAGAGGTTCTGGTGGTTGATGGATAAAGTTTGCATGATATTGACAAGCTTGGCACCTTCGAGCATAGTCTATGCAATCCTTTACCATTGTAGGCCAATAATATCCCATTCGCTTAATGTGGAAATGCAACTTGGGACCGGATTGATGTGCACCGCAAACCCCAGAATGAGCTTCTTGCATAGCTTGTAAAGCTTCCTCTTCCCCTAGACATCGGAGAAATATTCCATCAAAGGAACGACGATACAATGTTTCTTTATAGTAGATGAAGCGAGGAGTTCGACGCTTTATATCTACCCTTTTACGGGGATCTTCAGGTAACTTTCCATCAGTGAGGTAGTCAATTAGCGGTTGCCTCCAGTCGTCTTTGCCTATATCATACACTGAGGCAGTAGGAAGTTCAACAGTTTCATCAACTGAGCCGTCTTCATTAAAGATTGGTGGAACCACCCACCTTTGACATACTTGTATTCGGGCTGCAGGATGAGCAATAGTTGAAGCCAATGCGGCTAAGGCGTCAGCTTGCTTGTTTTCTTTCCTCGGTACATGTTCAATTGTGACGTCCCCTAACCATTGCATGAGTATCTTTGCATAGTTGTTATATGGGACTAACTCCGCCTTTTTCACTTCATATAGACCCAACACTTGGTTTATGATCAACTTTGAATCTCCATAAATGTTAATTCTTAGTTGCTTCATGTCAGCCGCTATTTCGAGCCCAAGTATCAATGCTTGATACTCAGCGATGTTGTTTGAACATTGCTCGGTCAAGGTGAATGAATATGGCAACACCTCGCCTTCTGGAGTGACGAAGACAACTCCAGCACCTGCCCCTTCTCTATGCGAAGCTCCATCAAAGTACATTTTCCATGGGGATAGGACTTCAATGACAAGCACATCTTCATCAGGCAAATCGTCAGACAACTCCCATTCAGCAGGTATCGGGTGGTCTGCTAGGAAATCGGCCAAGGCTTGCCCCTTAACAAACTTTTGCGGCACATATACAATTTCAAACTGTTGAAACAATAAGTACCACCTTGCGAGGCGGTCGGAGAGAACGACCTTTGCCATAACATATTTCACCGGGTTCGCTTTGGAAACAAGCCGGATGGTATGAGCCTCGAAGTAGTGCTTAAGTTTTTTGATCGAGAACACAAGTGCCAAGCATAGCTTTTCAATTGGGGAGTACTTTAACTCGTTCGGGGTCATCATTCTGCTGAGATAGTACAGAGCATTCTCCTTCCCCTTGTCATTTTCCTGAGCAAGCAAGGCGCCCACAGAACTGTCTTGGGCGGAGATATAGAGGATTAGTGGGCGACTGTGAACAGGAGCGGTTAGCACAGGCGGCTTCATCAAGTATGACTTGATACTTTCAAATGCGTTCTTGCATGCCTCATCCCACATGAACGGGATGCCCTTTTTCATCAACCGACTAAAAGGTTGACATCTTCCTGCTAGGTTTGATATGAACCTTCGGATGTAAGCCAACTTCCCTTGTAAGCTTTTAAGCTCATGAAGGTTTCTCGGCTCAGGCATCTTCATTATGGCGTCAATCTTTGCTTGTTCAATCTCGATACCCCTATGTCGAACAGTAAACCCGAGGAACTTTCCAGCAGCAACCCCAAAAGCACATTTCAGGGGGTTCATTTTCAGTTGAAACTTTCGTAGGCGGTCGAAGACTTGCCTTAAATGCACCAAGTGATTTGTGCGCAATTTCGACTTCACAACCAGGTCGTCTACGTAGCATTCGACCATTTTATGGAGCATATCATCAAATATTGTCTGCATAGCCCTTTGGTATGTAGCACCTGCATTTTTCAAACCAAAGGGCATTACTTTGTAACAGTAGATGCCTTTCGGCGTTCGGAATGCAGTTAAGTCTTCATCTTCCGGCGCCATGCGGATTTGATTGTAGCCGGAGGAGCCGTCCATGAATGACAGGATCTCATGCCCAGTCACGGCATCTATCATTAACTCTGTGATAGGAAGCGGGAAGTCATCTTTCGGGCATGCCACATTGAGGTCCCGAAAATCTACGCAGACGCGGATCTGGCCATTCTTCTTGCGCACAGGCACAATACTGGATATCCAGGTTGGATATTTAACTTCACGAATGAAGCCAGCCTCAATAAGCTTATTAACTTCTGTTTCAATCGAGGGAATGAGCTCGGGGCGGAAGCGTCGTTGAGCTTGCTTAACCGGGCGACACCCCTTCTTTACTGCTAAGCGGTGCACAGCTACCTTTGGGTCTAACCCTGGCATCTCCTTGTATGTCCATGCAAAGACATCAATATATTCTTTCAGCAATGTGACATAGGTTTCTTCATCTTCATCAGAAAGGAGTGCGCTAATGAAGATAAGACGAGGATTTTCAGGCGTTCCCAGATCAACTTCTTTTAATTCGTCCACCGCGGCTCGTACCCCTTCTTCTAACTCATGGGGTGCATCTTCTGCATCTTCCCCCTCAATCGGGGTCTCATCACACAAAGTGATATGGAACGACGATGCCACCTCTCCCTGAGTGGTTGGTGGTACGTCATCACTTGAGCCTACGCTTTCCTTATTTTCCTCTTTATGTACTCGAGTGTGTACAATGGTCTTCGGTTGGACTTTCAATACTTCACCGCATGTAACATGAATATATGTTTCTCGTCTCATACGAGAAGGAATCATGCTTCTGAGCCTTTTTGGAGGTTCCACTTCAGCAGGAACATTGGCACTGTCTTTAATAACTTGAACAGCTCCAAGTCGATCATGCATTGACTTTCTTTTTAGGGCTTTAGGACTTGACCCCAGTCTATCAAAGACTGAGCGTCGAGAGTCCGCCTTACCGATTCGGTCGAAGACTGACTTCTTTTTGTCTTGCCCCTTATCATTGGTAAGAGTGAGTTTTGGGTCATACTCGCTTCCCTCCGCGGAGATACAATTACTTGCAGCCCTGTTTATAAGAATTCGCACTGGTTTAGGGGGAACATAGCCCAACCCTTTGCGAGTTTGA